AAAGAGTGTTGTGCTGCCTGCCTGTCTCTCTGCCAGAGAAGGATTCCTCTCAGACATGTAATTGCCATTTCCATTTCAATTGATTCCCATGGCAGGGAATGCTCCTTGGGGGATTTCTAAAGCCTGACAGATCATGGGAATAGGAAGATTTTGCTGACGCTCATAGTCCTTCATTCAGTTCTGGTCCCTAGTTACACAGCACAGGGCAGTCTGTTGATGCTTCTTGGTTATTCCAAACCTGTCCTTCCTATGTAGAAAACGGCTACTTCTCATAGCCATGTTCCAGAACCAGTCAGATGTGCTCAGTCTGCTCGTAGTCTCTGATCTGAGACCAGCGGGCTGATCCACACGTGTGAATACACAGCACTGACTTACATTCACACCCAGCCAAGGCAGAGAAGCTCCCTGCCCTTCCAGCGGCAGCGCAGTGGACTGAGCTGTGCTTAAGGCAACTTCCCTCAGTTATTTGAACCAGACAGTTGGAAGTGCTCAAGGCCAGGTTGGACACAGGGGCTTGGAGCAACCTGCTCTAGTGGAAGGTGTCCCTGCCCATGGCAGAGGGTTGGAATTGGATGAGCCTTACAGTCCCTTCCAACCCGAACCATTCCATGATTCCATGATCTAAGCAGCAGCACAGAGGGCAGAGCAGCAGCTGCCTCTGAACAAAGTGTCTACGCTTGCTGTGGGTGCACTGCTTGTCCAAAGGGTGGTGATGAGCTGAGCGTGGATGAGCCCATCTCAGTGACAGTGTGACAAGCATGTGTCAGTAACCACTGGGGATGATCATGTTGTGCTTCTCACCTTGGGGGCAGCTGCTGCTGTGCCGCCGCCTCGTCCCACCACAGCCCTCCTCATATCTAAAAAGGCTTTTCCTGTGGTTCAGAAACACATCCTCCAGGCTCAGATACATGCTCCTGGCTGTGCCCTGAAGGGTGGGCCCGAGGGGGCAGACACTGGGGAGCTGCAGCCCCTGTGCTCTGTAAACCCACACACATCCCACTGGGATAACCATTCCAGAAATAAACCAAATACGTGGAGCTGTGAGTGTGTCTCGTGGGGATCCTCAAGCTTTTCCATCCTCAGCAGGGAAGCTGTGATGCTCCTGCCCAAGGACACCTCGATGGAAGGCTTGTCTTTTCCAAAGTATTTTGCTTCAGAATCCTCACACATCCTGGGGCTCGCTGTGCAGAGATTGCGATGATTCCTCTTTCCCACTGCTGTTTTGTGGCATAAACTGCCCTCAAGGCCTAACAAATAATATTTCTTTCCTCCAACTCTACAATAACTTGATAGAAAGCTCAAGGCATCAGAGTTGCTGAGCTCAAGCCTATGTCGGTGACAGACCATTTGGAAAGGCACCTCTCACACTGTGTTTCCAGTTGTTTAATTATTCCAGCTGGGAACTACAGACTATCAGTAATGGAAAGTCTAAATGTGGCAGACAAGGAGAATGACTAAACACTCCAGACACCTAGGATGGAGCACGTACTGCAAGGTATTCAGCCACACAGCACACGTTCCACACAGTTCTGTGGTGAGCTGCAGGTTTAGGGTCTTCTAGGAAACCATCTTTGCTCAGAACCTGCCTACACAACATGGAGTTAAACATGGGAAACTCACCACTGAGCTGATAGATCCAGTGCTTTTGTTAGTTTTCAAGCTCCCACATTTAGATTAAGTATGTTTTACTCCCTATGAGAAAACTCCAGTAAAGCCCATAGGGTGCTGTATCAAAAGACAGCACTGACTTTAGGCAGTGTAAAGTGCATTCACCACTCTAAGAGGCAAACCCAAACTGAACGAGAGAAAATGGCAAAAATACTTTGACTATGAAGGCTTTGACATCATTCCACTTGGGAAAGAGCACTTTTCGACTGACTTCAACCTTCTTTTTTTCAGCTACTGGAAATATTCCTTCCCCTCCCCCAAAGATCCTCCATTTAATGGATAAAAAAAGTGTTTAGAAGAAAACAAAAGCAACTTTGATTTTTTTCCCCTGCTCTGTAAGGCAGCTCCATAAACTTCAGCTCTTTTCTACAAGCTCCTGAGCTGCTCCACATCACACAGAGCTACCTTTTCTTTTCAATTCTTGCTGCAAATGCAAAGGCTCTTCCCCTGTGTGCTGGAACTGAAAGTGATCATGAAGAATTGCAGGTCTGACCTAAGCGTTCTGCGTCTGGACATGCTCTGCATGCAGTTATTAACTGCAGTGTGAAGGGCCAGCTCAGCCTTACCTTCTCCATCTCTTTCTTTGTCCAGAGGAGCTGAAGGGTTTTCAGCAATAGGAGTGGGTCCTGGCCTGGAGGAGGGAGAGAGAGAGGGAGAAAAGGGGGGAGAAAAACAAAACAAACCAGATTTATTGGCTCTGTACAGGCAGCCCAGACACACTGGGGCATTGTTTCACCGAGGAGAAATCAGCTACTCTATGCCACTGTGTTTGAAACCATCACCCTTCCAACTGCCACTCAGGATTAAAGTGCTAAAATCCTCGCTCTGAAACCCTCACGAAATAACAGACATCAACTTTAACTAAACACCCGCATGGGCTCCGATACTCAAAAGCTGTAGTGGTGCGTGTATACCAATCGCACTGCTGCTACACATCCAAAACATCTTTCACCCCTGTTAATATCAAACAAAAATGGTCCTTGAAGACAAAGCATCTTGCACAGGTTGGAAAGGATTATCAACACACTAATATGTAATGAAATGGCTCTAAAGTGTTTAACCTCATCCCAAGCTGTGGATGGAAGATGTGAGTGGATGAATTTTGGGAAGCTCGGGCTCTAGGTGCTTGGCAGCCTGTGTGTGAGCCCAGCCAGGCCAGCCATGGGGCTGGGAGCAGTTCGGGTCACATGTGGTTTGTACAAACTGCTGTCTGAGGAAGGGGAAACATGAAATGCTGCTGAGATTAGTGTCAAGGCTGAAAAATAGTGATCAATTATTTCAAAAGGAGGTGATCTAGAGTTTTTCTCTTTTACTTTTTAACTGTTTATGTGAGAATTTGAATTTTGTTATTTTGCATTAACTCAGGGGTGTTGGTTGATGAGAAGCTCCCCATGACCCAGCAAAGCCACCCCTGTGCTGGCCTGCATTCACAGAGTGTGAGCAGCAGGTTGAGGGAGGGGATCCTGCCCCTCTGCTGCGCTTTGGGGAGACCCCCCCTGCAGCCCTGATCCAGCTCTGGGGAACAGCACAAGAGGGATGTGGAGCTGCTGGAGCGAGACCAGAGGAGGCCACGGAGCTGCTGCGAGGGCTGGAGCAGCTCTGCTCTGGAGTCAGGCTGAGAGAGCTGGGCTGGGTCAGCTGGAGAAGAGAAGGTTCCCGAAGGGGAGACCTTAGAGCAGCTCCAGTGCCTGAAGGGGCTCCAGGAAACCTGGAGAGGGGCTTTGGACAAGGGCCTGGAGGGACAGGCCAAGGGGAATGGCTTTAACCTGCCAGAGGGGAGACTGAGATGAGCTCTTAGGCAGAAGTTCTTCCCTAGGAGGGTGCTGAGGCACTGGCACAGGGTGCTCAAAGAAGCTGTGCCTGCCCCATCCCTGGCAGTGTTCAAGGCCAGGTTGGACACAGGGGCTTGGAGCAACCTGCACTAGTGGACGGTGTCCCTGCCCATGCCAAGGGTTGGAGCTGGAGGAGCTTTAAGGTGCCTTCCAACATGAACCAGCCTGGGATCCAATGATTCTATGATCTAATTCACTATTATTCATCATACCACTATTTCTGAACCAAATACTTAGGGATATTTCATTTTAAAGGCAGTAACACTTTTGATATCTAGTTCTATTTATTTCCCAATCATTTACGTATGAAACCATGACTCAGAACATTCTGAATGAAAAATCTTCTACTGCATCAACAGATTAAATGTGAAGAATGAATTTAAAAGCATGAATGAGTTCTCCAGAAACACTCCCCATGTATGCAGTGAGCACCTACTCTTATATTTTCATAAAGACAAAAGAAAAATGTTTTCAAAAAGCCAAAAGAAAATCCATTTCAACTGAAAAGGAAACTTCCTTTCAAACACCTTCTGCATTCTACAGTTCCTAAATAGCCTATTTCCAAGTGGTAGACTTCTTGCTTAGTTTCTCCTCTCACTTCATATTTCAGGTCACAAAAAGCTACTTCAACTGTGAAAAGCTCCCTCTCATCCAACTCCACTCTGAAGCACTGCATTTATGAACTAGTTCCAGTAGCAAGCTGATTGCTGGTCGAGCCAAGAGCACGACAGTGTTCCCGTTATTCAGAACCTCTGGGAGACAGCAGCCAAATTAAAAATGCCACATTTACAATTCACAAGATAATATTTTCTCTCATCTCTGGTTGTTCTGAAGTCCTGAACTCTCCAAACACTGCCTGTTCCCACTACTGCAGCTCCTTGGAAGAGTCTCTTTTTACAACAAAACAGAAGAAAATCCAGATCTCTTCTCCCCACAAAATTAGCAACTAAGAGTCAAATTCAGCCCATGTGTGTGTGCACATGCATATATATATTCACACACACACATATATATATACACACATATACACCCCCTCCTCCTGGCCTGGCTCCCAAAGAAATTTATACACACACAGGAAAAAAAGGAGCCTGTAGCCCAGTGTGTAACCAAATACACTGTAAATCTGAGCTGTAATTAATGCAGTGACCAAGCTGGAATGATACAGGAAATGAGAGCAGTTAGGAAAGCAGTGGTTCACTCCAGATCCAGCCAATAATTCAACTTGTAAAAAGCTTTCTAAATCTCAAGCAACAAAACAAGCCCTTTTCTTACATGACTTTTTCCTACCTCATCTCCTTGTCACAGAAACGTGATCTCAGCTTTTTCAATACACAGACGCATGGAAACCATCTCTCGAGTCATTTTTAGAGGACTCAGCATGTTGCCAGCATGACACTGGGCAACCACGGGTCAGGAGAAAAACACCTTCTCCCTCCCCAGCCCTGGAAGGGAATGCACCCACCAGGTAATTATGTCCACACTACATCTCGGGGTGCTGCAGAGCCCTGCAGCAAGAGAAGGTCAACCATGGGGATGCCAACCACTCATCTTCTGGCATGATCTGTCAAAAGGTTTTGCTCTCTGATCAGAGACCAAATGTTCTCTATGTTCTCTGTACGTAAGAAAGAGGCAATTCCCGCTCAGTTCTCCAGAACTGGGATTGAACAGAAGAGAAAACACTGAAATACTAACTGCAGTACCCTGGTGCCAGAACAGTGCTGAATCATAGAATCCCAGACTGGTTTGTGTTGGAAGGGATCTTAAAGCTCATCCAGTTCCAACTGCTGCCACGAGCAGGGACACCTTTCACTAGAGCAGGTTGCTCCAAGCCCCTGTGTCCAACCTGGCCTTGAACACTGCCAGGGATGGGGCAGCCACAGCTTCTCTGGGCACCCTGTTCCCTCCTTACCCGGAAAAGCCTTGTAGGTATCTAAGGATGAAAGGCAGCCTGAGGCTAAGCAGAACAATCAGTCACTCCTAGAGCCAAACATAAATGAGACAAAGCAACATTATGCTTCTGCCTAGTCCCACCAGAGTGGAAAGACATTGCAGTTCACATTGGATCCTGGGCTATTGTATCTAGCTACCCTCCAGTTAGAACAGCAGACATCAATGTGAAGGTGCACATCATTTTGGCTCCTGAAAGAAATGAACAATTCATCTTTCTCCTGCAGGACCTCTTAGGGAGACTGGCCTCATCATGGTTCTCCTGGACCCTTAGAGTGCAAAACTAGTGTCTTTGGCATGGATAATGAAGCAGTGACAGCACCATTATGTTCCCATTGGAATACCAGATGGGTTCCTGCTCATCCACATCTGAGAAGGAACCAGAGAAGCAGCAGGAAACTAATGCCAGAATATAAAAAGAAAAAAAGGACTGGACCTTACAAGGAGTTTCATAAGCCTTCCAGAACAAATCTGGAGAGCAGATGATTGCTGAAAGAGGAAGAAATACATGGCAAGAAAAACCAAAGCAAAGTGACTGATCCCAAATGGTCACAACTGAACCACAAGTGCATCTGGGCTCAAATCAGAGGACAAGAACAGGAACATTCTGAAGCACCCTCCTGACACTATAGTAGGAGCAAAAAGTGGCAATTGCTAAGTTACAAGTATTAAATCACCGACAGAAAAGTGCCTGCAAAAGCAAGGCTAGGTCATGGAGGCCAGAAAAACACCTTCATGCGTCACACCGAGAACACCCAGAATCTCCACTTCAGTTCTGCAGGCTCCTGCACACTGAGGGGGTGCCCAGCTATGAGCAGGGGCCATCCAGTGAGCAAACCAAAGAAAGCCAGGATGGGGCCATGTGAAACTGCATAAAAAGCAGCAGGGCAAGTAGGAAAGCACCAGCTCTGTCTGCCCCAGCTGTGAGCAGCCAAGGGAGGCCAGGTCTATCATACTGGAAAGGCCAAGACAAGCCCCAGGCAGCTAATCGCATTCAGTTCCTGGGTCAAGGTGGAAGAGAAAGTGCTCAGTCTCACACTGATCCTACACAGCTCAAAAAAAGGGGTTGCAGACCATAAAATACCTCACAAAGCTTCACCAAAACAAGGCAACAGCTCTTTGGTGGAGCTCTCAGACACCTCTGCACCCACTCCAGCAAGACACAAATTACATTGATTTCTTGGAGAAGGACTTGGAAAGGGGCTTTGGACAAGGGCCTGTAGGGACAGGACAAGGGCAATGGCTTTAACCTGCCAGAGGGGAGATTGAGATAAGCTCTTAGGCAGAAGTTCTTCCCTAGGAGGGTGCTGAGGTGCTGGCCCAGGGTGCCCAGAGAAGCTGTGGCTGCCCCATCCCTGGCAGTGTTCAAGGCCAGGTTGGACACAGGGGCTTGGAGCAACCTGCTCTAGTGGAAGGTGTCCCTGCCTGTGGCAGAGGGTTGGAACTGGATGAGCTTTAAGGTCCCTTCCAACACACACCAGGCTGGGATTCCATGATTCTTCGTCTGACAGTTTCTCCAAACAGTATGTTCCTGGTTTAAAAATTTTGACATGAACTTATTTCCTCTAGACATTTTTCATTCTGAAAACCCATTTCCCCACCCTGCATCTGGCACCAAAACTGGAGGAGATAGTACATCAAGTGTTTTCCAGTTCTCAGTATCTGTGGTTACATTTCAAAACCATATAAACCACAAGGCTTATATTTTTGAGTTAGAAAAGTGCCTTTGAGGAAAGCCATCAACTACTTTCTGTTCATTCTCTGCTTCTCCTTTGTGCACACATCACTGGAAACCTGCTGCGAGCACAACAAAAGCGGTGCCCCCAGGCTGCTGAGCTACAGCAGTGCGTTT